AATAAGAACCTTTATTTCTCAAAAATAGATTTTAATTTATCTCTAAGTAATAAAAACAGACGTATAATTCTCTTTTTCTAAAAGTAAAGCTTCTTTACATTCATGAAAAAGGTTAAAAAAAGATTAAAAAATTTTAATTCAATTAATATAAGCTAAAATTCTCGTAAAAATTTCAAAAAGTTATGAATTTAATAGATAAATTTGAAAAAGTTATTAAAAAATTATTGAAATCAGAAAGCATTGGGGTTCGGATACGAATATCTTTTAAACGGTTGGAGTAATCAATTAAACATATCAGACCTTTTTTGTAGAGCGTTAAATTTCCTACAAAAATTTCGTATATTTATTTGACAATTATTATTTTCCAATGTGGTAGGAAATTAATAAAAAAAAATTTTTTTTTGATAAATTCTTTGAACTTTGATCTCGGATATCTTTGAAATGGTCAATGTAATCGCTTATACATATCAGATCTTTTTTGTAGATCATTCAATTTCCTACAAAAATATGTATAAAGATTTGATTAAAAAATTGATTGATAATGAGATATGATTTTTTTTATAAAAGATTAACGAAAAATGTAAAACTGTGATGAGGATAATCTTCCTATCAATATTAAGAGCTCAAATTTGGTGAAAATTTTCTAGGGGTGCCTGAGAACCAACTTTTCAATTTCGAAAGTTAAAAAAAAAATATTCGATTTTTTTGAATCACCCTAATATACATAGAAGATTTTCTATAGATATAGTCACTCATCACGATATCTCTGGAACTATGAGACCTAGAGACTTGAAATATGGTAGGAATATTCCTTTCGCTGAGTAGAGGTCAGCTAAGAACGGATTTTACGAAATTCCACCCACAAGGGGGGTTACGGGGCGTTAACAATGAAAAATTCCCGTTTTTAAACTATAGCTCCTATCGACTCCTAATTTAGTAGGAATCTTCTGTATGAGATGTAGAAATTATCTATAAACAAATATAACGATATCTCACCCCACAGAGGGTTGCGGGCGTGGGTACTAACAATGAAAATTTTTTATTTTCAAGCTATAGCTCCTACAGACTCCAAATTTGGTAGGAATCTTCTGTAAGTGATGTAAAAATAATTCATAAACGAATTTCACGATATCTCACCCTACAGGGGCTTGCGGGGATGGGTATTAACAATGAAAATTTTTAATTTTCAAGCTATAGCTCCTACAGACTCCAATTGGGTAGGAATTTCCTCTAAGAGATGTAAAAATAATATACGAACGAGTTTTAAGATATCTCACAGGAGTTTGCGGTGGTGGATGATAACAATTAAAATTTTTAATTTCCAAGCTATAGCTCCTATAAACTCTAAAGTTTGTAGAAGTCTTCTATATGTGATATAGAAATGAGCTAAGAATGGATTTTACAACGAATCAACTTCAATAATGATCGTAGGGGTGGGTGCTCGGAGAAAAAGGTTTAGATCTGACCAGATCTATATATATATTCAGATCTATTTATATCTGATCAGATATGGGATTGGAGACATAATCAGATCTAGTCATATCTGATCAGATCGAAACAGATATAACTATATCTGAGTTGAAAAATTCATCAGACATGATCAGATCTGGTCATATCTGATCAGATCTAAACAGATATAACTATATCTGAGTGGAAAAATAAATCAGACATGATCAGATCTAGTCATATCTGATCAGACCCTGGCTGTTTCGGCGACACGGTAAAAGCACGGTTAATTCACGGTCGTTTCACCGTATAAGATTCGTTTTTATTGAGCGAATTGTCAGTCAGCATCGGATACCATTGTGAAAGACTGCTATAAATTTATCAAATATATACGGTGATTTCACGATGCAATCATTAGTTATGCACTTCCAAGTAATAGAGAAGTGAGTAATAAACGTCTGTTTTAAAACACTTGATGTACCGACTGTGAGTGCAAAAAAGATGAATGTACGCAAGTGAATCTTCGACATTATGACCGACACTGTACGCTCAATATACTGTCAAATCACGAAAAATTCACGCTACTGTCACAAACAATAAAATAAAAAATGATATTTCTGACAGCTCAGACCGGGACTCGAACTCGGATTGTTTTAGTTGCGCGCCTAACGCTTTACCAGTTAAGCTATCTGAGACACTGTCCACAAATTTCATTTAGTCACCTCATAAGGGGTCAAAACTTAATCATTTTTTTTTTAATGTTACAGATAAAAATAGCTTAAATAAATTTATATTTCTTCCGTAAACTCAAAATAATAATCGTAATTAATGATTCAAATTTTTGATAATTATTAAAATGTTGATTTTGAAATTACGGTGAAATTATTAATTTTATAAAAAAAGTTCTGGAAAAGAAATTGCTTAAAATTTAGTTAAAAAAAAAATATCTCATAATAATTTTTCTTGATAACAAACAATTTAGCCGTAATTTTGAAATTAAAATTTTCGTCTAATAAAAAACTTAAATCTTTAATAATGGATCCGAATTTGTAGAATCACAGTGAAAACTTTATTTAAAACTATGGAAAAATTCAACACTTGCTGTATGTCATAAACTCTTCTGAAAAGTATTGAAATAATGGATCTCTGTTGGTTGTATGTAATCTGATTAATTTTTTATGATTTTACTTAGAAATAAACAATATTTCATCAATTTAACTTTTTTTAACTTCCCGCTAAGAAAATCGAAGATTTTCAAAAATCGGGAAGTTATTGTTTTCACCCCGTTTTGCAAAAATCGAGTTTTCATCAGATCTCGACGTTTGAAGGTCACAGGAAGCTTCCCTGACTATCCCCGCGAGGTTGTCACTATGTCTGTATGTGTGTA